AGAGAGAAAAACAGAGAGAGACAGAGATTTTTATGTTTGTCTGTGTGAGAAAAAGAAACAGAGAGGACTCCCAGATTCAGTTGTTGTTTTTTTTACACTTGACATAACTTTACAAAACTTCTTGTCGTATAAGTATATTATATATATATAACACATGTTCTCTTTTCCTTTTTTTTTCTAGCATCAGCTTATTTACGTGTAATGGTGCAGGCTGCGATGAATACAACACTTACTACACGGACAGGTTCAACACTAAAGATCAAGATGGTGAGTACGCCTTTTCAATACTTTTAAAAAATCTTCAATGTAGGGTACACCCCCAATTACACAATTTAGATCATATTTTATGTGAGGCAGCGTGGTAAAATCAGGCGCTCGTTAAAATAGCAAAATTGGAGCAACGGGCATTTTCCCATCAGTTTCGAAAATTTTTTCTGGAATTTTTATTTTTCGGCTCAACCTCTTTCAAGTCTATATATAAAGACACATTTCTATGTGAATTTTACTGGAAAATTTTGATTAAAGGCACAAAATATGTCATTTTTCTGTTTTCAATGACTCTTTAGCTATTGGAATTATCAAACTTTGGCGGCCATTTTCTCGCTAATTTCACCAGTGAAATCAAGAGGCCTCACTTCCTTCAATCGTAGGGCCTAAATATCTTGAGTTCTATTCAAGATGGATGGATATTTATTACTTGGGAAGCAAGGCAAATAAATCTGCTTTCAGATGGTAACTATAACTGCACATGCTAGAGCTGGGTCACGAGCGCGAGAACGGAACTGAATCCCCACTCTTGCGGAACGCCATTCGCTATTCACTTCAGCAGACCGCGGAACAGTATCACCTTCCAATTTTCTCCCCTGTCGCTGTCACCACCATGCGGCTTGTTTGTAGCTCTATTTGATCTGTGGATCTAGTGCTATTTGTATGTCGCGAGCGCTAGAACAGAACATGGAATGAAACACTTAGCACGGTTCCCTTTATTTTACAAAAAATGGTATAGTCCAACCCCCCTATTAAAACAAAATGAATGGGTTCCAACCAATATACAGAAGGAATTTTATGGAGCCATTGTTTTTGCGAATCATGTGGTGTGGGGGGGAAGGGGGGGAATTTATGGAGTCGCTAATTGAGGTCAGTAGAGGAGCGCAATGAAGGGTGGGGGCGGAGAGGATGGCGGGGGAGACGTCTCAATGGCGGGGCAAAATGCGTGGGACTTGCGAAGTGGCATTGAATGACACTGTTCCATTTCACGCATACAGCGAGTCCGAGGCTTAGAGTTCCACGAGCGCTCGGGTACTCGCGATTCTTTGAAGCCCACTGAATTGCGAATCACCACTCTCAGATTTGGCGAGTAGGATCCAACTCTAGCACATGCCCAAAATTGACGAGCGCCTGATTCCACCGCGTCGAGACACCTATAGAGGGCGGGCTTCTATTCTGCCTGTCAACCTGAGAGGAATACTATGTGGTACGACACGGAATCAGGCGCTCGTCAATTTTTAGGTATGTGGAGTTATTGGTATCATCTGAGAGCTGTTTCATTTGCCTTGCTTGTAATGAAATAAATATCTATCCATCTTGAGTAGAAGTGAAAATATTTTTGATTGAAGCAGGGGAGGTCCTTCAAAACTGAAAAATGACATATTTTGTGCCTTTAATCTACGTTTTTCAGTAAAATTCACATGGAAATGCATTTTTATAGGGGCAAAAAAGGGGTGGAGCCAAAAAATAAAATTTCGATAAAATCTTCCTTGCTGGCAGAAAAATGCTTTTTTTGTCTGATTTCATTATTTTGACGAGCGCCTGATTTCACCACGCTGCCTCACATATTCAACCTCACAGCAGAAAGTTGGAGGTGCTAGATAAAAAGTCTTTCCACATGGGAACCAAACTTTAAATCTATTCTAATCCAGGTATGTTTGATGGATGCTGCAGTTCTGATACTTTATTTTACACGATGTGTGGAATAGTTTTCATATTTGTAATGCCCTTGTCGATACCGTTAGTTTATTTAATTAAGAAGTACCCATGTCAACATTGTAAGCTTATTTAATTAAGAAATGGGGGCCTCTAAATGGAACGTTAATTTTTATTGTTATTGCGGTGTGTCATGATGATAAACATCTATCTTTCAACCACTAATATTGTGTTGACTCAACAGATGAACCGTAAGATCGGTGACATTTTGTTTGTGTGTCTCGTCTCCACAGATGTTGGCGATGATGACGGCCTAACTGACGGACATATCACAGCCATCGCCGTAGGAGTTATTGTTCTTTCTGTCGCTGTCGTGGTCGTCATTATCTTTATCGTGAGGAAAATGAGAGGACGTTCTTTCCCAACTTGAGAGTTCAGCGAAAGGAGGTTCTTTTCTTACCTGATGTTAAAGGAGCTTCTTTTTCTCACTCGATATTATTGCAAGAGGAGGTTCTTTTTCTTCCTGATATTATAGCTAAATAAGGTTCTTTTTCCTTCTGATATTATAGCTAAATAAGGTTCTTTTTCCTTCTGATATTATAGCTAGTGGAGGTTCTTTTTCCTCCTGATATTATAGCTAAATAAGGTTCTTTTTCCTCCGGATATTATAGCTAAATAAGGTTTTTTTTCCTGATATTATAGCTAAATAAGGTTCTTTTTCCACCTGATATTATAGCTAAATGAGGTTCTTTTTCCACCTGATATTATAGCTAAATAAGGTTCTTTTTCCTCCTGATATTATAGATAAATAAGGTTCTTTTTCCTTCTGATATTATAGCTAAATAAGGTTCTTTTTCCACCTGAAATAATAGCTAGAGAAGGTTCTTTTTGTTGTTGTATTTGTTGCTTTTAAATTTTAGAGTTTTATGGAGAAAAACAGGGCTGTAGAAGATAAAGATTGACTGTTTTCTGTGTACATTGATATTCTCTTTTGTTATTATTGTTTGATGTTGTGACTTATCTGACAGAGTGAAATATTGCCCGATCGTTGACATAATACGTACGAAAGAATGTGATCATCTAATTGTTAATCTGGACTTTCAATCTTTCGTCTAAGAAGGTTCATATTATGTGCTCTTTCACTCCACCGTTCATTTTATGATACTTTCAATTCTTAACAATGTGTCCAATTTTTAACAATAGGCCTATGTTCAATTTTTAACGATATGTTGCCAAAAAAAAGGGAAGGGTGTGGGAGGGTTTTTTTTGTTTGTTTTTTTAAATTTACCCTTGAAAATTTTTTTGTATTTTAGTAATACAACTATGTTATTTAAAATTACTAAGAGATTAGGAGAACATTAATTTGGTATTTTTATGAGCTGGCTCTTGACACACATTAAGGTTATCTTTGTAGAAAGACTTCTATGGCTGTGTCTGTACCTGATGGGATCAAGGCTACTGGCAGGGATACGAGCATGCCATATGGTCTGCTAGTGGTTAGGATTCCTGGCTTTCACCCAGGCGGGCCAGGTTCGATTCCCGGTGTGGGAACAATATTTTTTTGTGAGGATGCGGTGGTGGAACGAATAGTTCGCTCATCTCCAAAGCGGAAAGTCCGGGTTCGAGCCTTGGTTCGGATACGGATTTTTCTCGCCCCCTCCTTCCCACCCAGCAGTAATGGGTACCTGACGTCGAGTTGAGGAAGTAAAGGCTGCGTGGAAAGGAACTGGCCACCCTACCACAATATGCTGAAGGCCCAGGAAGTTGTCTCACTAACAAGGGAATCCCCAATGTCCGGATCGGATGCGGGAACAACTTTACTTTTCTTTTTACAAACATGCCTCTTCTGGGAATCAAACCTGAGTCTTCTACAAGACAGCTGACCATGATGTGACGCGAGCAAAAAATCCATGTGTGCATACTCTGACAGTGAACAGGATAGAAATTATGTTCATTTTTTTTTCACAAGCGTTTTCGTACTGTCACGTAGCCTGCTCAGTTTTTAATCACTAGATTTTTCATCAACAAGACATGTACATAAGCCATGACTTCCAATTTTAATAGTTATAGAAATATTATTATTATTATTATGTTGACTTCCAATTTTAATAATTATAGAAATATTATTATCATTATTATGTTGACTTCCAATTTTAATAGTTATAGAAATATTATTATCATTATTATGTTGACTTCCAATTTTTATATAGAAATATATTATTATTATTATTATGTTGTTGTTAGATTAATGGTCAGTGTTTATTAATTCATGTTCTACTTGTATTCACTGTTGGTTCGTGTTGTGAAGAAGTGGACGATGTTGCAGATTTGTGAGCTTCTGTATTTGTGAGGCAGCGTGGTGGAATCAGGCTCTCGTCAAAAAAATCAAAGTGAAGAAACTTATATTTTTCTTCCGGTTTGTGAATTTTTATCAAATTTTTGTTTTTGGGCTCAACACCTTTCATGCCCGTTAAAGAACTCATTTCTGTGTGGATTTTTCTGAAACACGCTGATTAAAGGTACAATAAATGTAAACTTTCAGTTTCCATGGACTCTCAAGCTAAGGACATAACTCATCTTTGGCGGCTATTTTCTCACTAATTTTACTCCTGAAAACAGGTGACCCCACCTCCTTCATTCGCAAATATCTTGACTTGTATTCAAGATAAATGGAAATTTTTTCAATCCAAATAAAGACACGTGAACAATTTTTAAGATGATACCAACAACTGTACATGCTCAAAAATTGACGAGAGCCTGATTCCACCACGCTGCCTCACATTGAAGTATGTGTACACAGAGTATATTATATATTGGCTTATATACAAAATATTATATATATCGCCACTGCACTAGCAAAATGGCCAATCTTATATTTGCTACTTTTGCAATATCGGGGGGGGGGGGGGGGGGGGGAACTGTTTAACTATTTATCATCTACAAATGGTAAAACTTGCCTTGTATGTTTCTTTGGTGACTGCCAGCACATTTTATTTGTTTAGTTTTTACCAAAAGATAGACATAATAGAACCACAAAACTGAATAAAAGGCCAGTTGCATTTTTTCACGACTCTGAATGATGCCATTTTAACTCTTTATCTCCGCCAAGCCGCTCCCAGCAGCTCGCGGTCGGAACAGCTGTGCTGGGGAGTCACTGACAGCAGCTCGGGCACATTCCTTTACCACGACTTCGACATAAAATTAAATGGCGTTTTTGTCATTTTAAGATTTAGCACCAAAAAAAGGCTCCAGCGTAGTGGGTTTACCCCCCTCGGAGATAAAGAGTTAAATGCTAGTAATAGTGCGGTGACGATATTTGTGAGAGGTAGTGACAAAATGAGTTACTTCTCGCAATTCACAAATGGAGATATTGGCCAAAAATCGACACTAGGGTCAAATTTGTAGATTTTCTATTGGTGTCATATTCTATAAGTATGACATGCATTTGATTCTTTCACACTTATAAATTGTAAAAACTTCACTTATAGGTGTGATGTATTTATTTCCATGAGGCTCAAATCTGAGAAGTAACTCATTTTGTCAGCACGCTTCACTTTAATTAAAAGTTTCATCACAATACGCATTATAATATTGAATTATGCATGTTGAGTCAGGTTGTAAAAATCACTTGAAAAAACATCCCAGACAAACCTACCTACTACTAGATGTACCTCAAACTTTTCTTTTTGCTGGTGCACTTGGGTTATAGTCCCTAGTGGCTACTATGAATAGTGCAGACTATGAAAATCACAGATGACTAACAGTCATCTTAACCGTATCGGTACGCCCAGGGGTCATTTTGTACACCCGGGGTTGTATTCTTCACATTTTAGAATATTTCTAGTACGAAGATCTCTTTGAAACTTTCAGTATTTCTCAAAAAATCATTTTGACAGACTGCTATGCAAAGCGTACAGATCGGATTAACGAGTAAATTTCCTCTTTGGAAAGTGGTGGCACAGAGTTCCCCACGTCGTATGGATACGAGAGTAAAACACAATGTACGGATAGGGTTGATAATAATAGATAGCATTTGAATAGCACAAATCCCCGCTCAACAGCAAGCTCTATGAGCTTCTTCTCGTTCATCCCTAAATAGACATAATAATAATAAAAATAAATAGCATTTGTATAGCGCATATCCCCGCTCAACAGCAGGCTCTATGCGCTTTACACTATATTATTACCACAGCAGACCATAGAACACTCCGAAACATTCTCAGCTTCCGCGGAAGCATACAGTGCAAGCAGCGGATTTCACGCGCTCAAACACTATCAAACTGACAAGATCTTTCTCTGTCTATAGCTGGGTACCCATTTCCACCTGGGTGAAGTGAGGAAAATTTGTGCAAAGTGCCTTTCCCAAGGACACAACGTCGGGCCCCTGACGGGATTCGAACCCACGACCTTACGGTTGCGAGTCCGAGAGCCTAACCAGTCCCTAGCGTGTGAAGGCTGTTGTATGCTGCAAGTCTCCTAGGCCCCCATAGAGTTTTGTCTCTCTCTGCCTCCGTCTACAGTTGGGCCAATATTTCCTTCTAAGTAATAAGATAAGGTAAGATAAGATACACCTTTATTGTTCTGATCCTGGCACATTGGTTTGGTGTTTCACCTCCTATGCGCACACACACACACACACACACACATACACACACACACACACACACACACACACACACACACACACACACACACACACGCATGTACACACACACACACACAAACACACACACACACACAGTGCCCCGAGCATTGAGCAGGCTTGTAACAGATGGTTCCCTGTTTGACTGCCAGTCCTGTAGTCTCGGAAATAAGGATTGAATTGGCCCTACTTAGGCCTACTTTTAGTGTAAAACGTCCTGATATTCTCAGTGCTGTTTGTGTACAAGTTGGCCACCCTATGTCACAAATGCTTGAATGATAATGCGCTACCATATTTATCAAATTTGTTGAGACAGTACATTCCAACTCGCAGTTTAAGGCAATCGGCTGACAAAAAGAAATTTCTTTTACCGTCTATGAAACTTAAAACAATGGGTGAAAGGGCATTTGAATACCAAGGCCCCAAGACGTGGAATGCTTTGCCAAGTACGTTGAGAGAAATCAAATCTTTTGATTCATTCAAATGTCAGCAGAAGTTATTTCTGTTTTTAAATTAATAAGATGAATATTTGGAGTGATTTTCTTTTAGTCAGAACACAACGTTTTATGTTACTGTTGTACGTTGTACTGTATTGTAAAGCGCTCAGAGCCTGTGTACTTTAATCAGGGTTGTGCGCTATATAAATATCATTTTTATTATAAAAATATTTTTTTTTAGCAAGTCTTTTATAGATATCTGAGTGACTTGCCTCATCTTGACTCAATGAAAGAGTATGGGACAGGTTAGATGCACATTATTAGACCACAAAGCCCAACCATAAAGAAAGTTTGAAGCAGTACAGTCGGCTCCTTTAATTTTAATATATATGCAAAATCTGACTTTAACAATGTGAATGAGATACCAAGCCAGGACTCAGTTTTACTTTATCTGTCTCTGTCTCTGTCTCTGTCTGTCTCTGTCTGTCTGTCTCTGTCTCTCTCTGTCTGTCTGTCTCTGTCTCTGTCTCTGTCTGTCTCTGTCTGTCTGTCTCTGTCTGTCTCTGTCTGTCTGTCTCTGTCTGTCTCTGTCTCTGTCTATCTCTCCCTCTCTCTCTATCTCTCTCTCTCCCTCTCTCTCTCTCTCTCTCTCTCTCTCTCTCTCTCTCTCTCTCTCTCTCTCGGCCTATGACATTGTGTACATTGGGTATTATTCATGCCATTGTAAAACAAATTTCCCAAGGGAATCAGTCCAGTGGTTTTTATGTAGGCCTATGCTGCGCGTTTTAACGATCGTATAATTGCGCGGAAATCTTAAGATTGCGCTGCGCGTTTTAACGAATGTATAGTATCTTTCTTGTGAGCTCTTCAGTTTCATATGTTAATTTAAATTTTAGTTTTTATATTCACATTTTTCCCCTTTTGAAAATATTTGTGAATGTTCCTTGATGCGAGTAAATAAAAGAATAAAGATGGAAGTGAATTTTTAACAGAAAATTTTCTAAAAATATATAAAATATTAACGCAATCTTCCGATTGCCGCGTAAATATACGTTTGTTAAAACGCACGGCCCAATCCTTAAGATCGCTGCGCAATTATATGATCGTTAAAACGCACAGCGCATGCGCCTATCGGTATATAATGCGGAACATATGTGTGTGTG